GAGGTATTATGAAGTAGACACTTCTTTGGAGTGCGCATCTGTGAGCGAAATTCCCATTTAAAATTAGAAATTTCGATTAGATTAGATTTCTATGGATTTCTTTGGATTTTCGATTATAATACTATGGGGAATTTCGTGTCTGGTCTGGAAAATACATAGGTCAAACGCCGAAGGTATTTTCGGTAAAAATCATTCGTGAGCGAAAAGTTTTTGCCCACGAAGACTAACCTCTTTCCTCCCTAAGTTGGCTGGGAACGGATAGATGAATTGCCCATAGTATAGGGATGTAGCACGATGGTAAAAAGCCAGAAGAACGTTTGGTGTATAAGAATTAGGTGATATTCCCCAATTTGGACGATCTGTTACCGCTTTGTGGGTATTGATATTTTTACACTAATAGGTGATCGTGGAATTGCCTGAGGGTTTGATTGTCCCGCGTCGTAGGAGGCGAGTTGTGATATTAAGTCTCTGGCGTCATAAATTGACTGGATATCGATTATTGGATCGATATAAACAGCAAAAATGGGGTTTCTATTTCATACTTCTTCCTAGCCAAGCTTACATTATGTTTCACGTGAATCCCCATCGTGCTTACGTGACTTTTGGAAGGACGCTTAAACGGGCATACAAACATACACACAAAGTTAGCGCTTTATATAAATAGAGGATTTTCGTAAACAGCATTCAAAATTCCATCGATTTATCTGGGTCTCCATTCGAAATCCCGCAGTAAATAACTACCCTTCCTTGGTTAGTTAATGATAGCAGAGATGAAAAATGAAAGAGGGTGTCCAAAACTTTCAAGTTGTGGACCCATCCATTGTTTTGTCAAACATTCGATCATTTGAAGATTCGGGTCAATTGGTTCTTGATTATTAATTGCTAGAGTATCGCGCCTTTATAGGATACCTTGTTACTTTCGTGAAAAGATTTGGAATTCAGGCCTTTGTGCTAGAACTCAAAAAAAACTTATTTGATGGGTTCTTAATGCTTCGCTGGCTATGAGTCCTTGTAAGTATTTCGCAATCATGACTTCAACCTTCCACTGCTGGCCGGGAACGAAGCTGTCTCATTGTGAGAGCTATCGTCTATAACGAATTTTGTATGGGCATAATCCATCTTCTTTTCTGTATCGCAAATATCTAGAGACATCGTATCTCACCCAGGGTGTCTCGCAACGAACCACCCAGCAGACACTCGAGGGAGGTTTCATTGCGTTTTTGGTGAGATTCTCAGGTGATGATTCATTTTATATAACTTCCCGAGGGTTACACCGTGACCGACGAGATTTACGCTTCTCAGTAACAGTGTTTGGCTGACTTAGTTTGAAGGGAGCGTCCGCAGCAAAGGTATGTCTTTTTTGACAGCCTGTTGCGCATGTTGAGAAACTGTCTTGCTCTGCGCGACCCTTTAACCTTTGTTAACCCTCTACCCTTGTGATTAACCAATAATGCTTGCATATAGCCACCGAGTAGGCAATTTACTTGAATGGTATGGTAAGAAAGGTAAGAAATTAACGAGCTACCAGGTAAGACTCGTTTGTTCCCAAACGGTGAAAGAAACTAAGTTGTCAGAAAATTGTTGAACTTGGCAGGGGAAGTGCTACCCCATTGCCCTTATCTGCCATGTCTTATTTCGTCCGACTATCGTTTGCTTCTTGCTCTGGAATATCAACTACACGACAAAAAATGGTGATCTATCGGAACTCAACACTGAAATTTCCAGCTTTTTCGAATCGCGGCTGCCACAATTCTGGGCTTCAAGAATCGGAAAACTGCCTGATCGTCGGACATATGTTGTGGACACGATGGAGACCATATTACTAATCGAGACCCTTTTTAATGAAATTAAGTAATTTTGTAACAAAGGTGAAAAGTTGACCGAAACTTTCTACTCAACCTAATATGGGCAAGATCTCATAGTTCAATAGACATGCAATATTCGTTTATTTTGCACCCTAAAATGTGAAGGACTGGGAACAAATCTTTCACAAAATATTTCTCCAATCTATTCTAAGTGAGAAATGTGACAAGTATTATTGTGAAGTAAATTTTGGTCAATATTCGTGCATACTAGGTTGATCTATCTGAAAGCTTCATCTTTTCGCTTTGTCGTGAACGTCTATTGACACGTTGATTTGACAAGCGTTGTCGACCATTGCCTGTACTCGAGCGCCGTGGTGAAGTACTCCTGATCTACAAAATAAGCAAATTATTCCAATGTTGGCATAAATAAATGGAAAATGGAATGGAAAGGCTGCTTTCATAGTCCGCCGGCCGGCGTGCCGGCGGAGGCAGTGCTAGGGGGAGGAGGAAGGCAGACAGTGTAAGGCAAACAGTCCACTCCCCTTCGAAGGTTGTTTGTTTTCAACTCCTCGAAGGGGCGTGGACTGTTTGCCTATCTGTCTGCCTCCCTCCTCCCCCCTAGCACTGCCTCCGCCGGCTCGCCGGCCGGCGGACTATGAAAGCAGCCAAACTGGAAACAAATGGACACTGATGGAGCGCCTGTTTATCCATTTATCAAATAAATGCCTTGTAGGTATCCATGCTGCAAGTAAATTGTAAAGCGGAGCAACCTGAATCCTCAATGAAACACATTGGGGTTATCGTTTAGTAGGAGGAACGGTGTTGGTTGAGCAGCAGGATTCGGAAAATGGACAGTATGGCTGCGGGTCAGCAGGCGCCATTGTGTTCGCTGCGCAGAGTTAGTAACTGCGAGTGAGCACTTCAATCGGTTTTGAATGTCCGTCCTTTCGGGGTATATTGCAAGTGGGGTCACCCTCCGAGTGTTATACGCAACGGTACCGAGGTCACCTAAACCTTGAGCCCTTCTCGTACAGCTTGTCCTATCGACCAAGGAAAGGTGGTCTAGCCTTTATGGATTTAAAGTTTCCATGCTGCGCATACTCTTCGTCTAGTGACTCAGCGCTGAGCACTTAGGGATCCTAACAGCTCTTCTTTTCGACGGTGTCCCAGTCCTTCGCGGAGGGAGTTATCTTATGTCCACTCTGGATCATAAGGGAAACAGATGTGGAGCATACATTTTGTTGAGCATACAAATAGCTTCCATCTTATGATTACAGTGTAAAAACATTGGATCTCTAAGAGGACAATCTTTATGTATAAAAAAAACATACTTCAATCAACTCGCTTCTGTTTCACGATATGCTAGCCTGTTCAAAAGGTCATGAAACTACGGGAACAGCCAAAATCTCTTCTTAGTATGCTCTTTTTCGTGGGGAGTGCCTAATAGATGGTGAACGAAAACATCCTCACCCTCCCACTCTCTCTTGAGCGCAGATTTCCTGTTGAAGGGGTTGTTCGACCACTTTCTTTGGAGCGCAGATTTCCTGCTGTAGGGGTTATCCGACCACTTTCTTTGGAACGCAGGTTTCCTGTCGAAGGACTCATTCGACCACTTTCTTTGCAACGCAGGTTTCCTGGGGTTCCCGTTGAAGGACTTGTTCGACCACTTTCTTTGGAACGCACATTTCTTGTTGAAGGGCTTGTTCGACTGCTTTCTTTGACACGAAGGTTTCCTGTCGAAGGACTTGATCGAGGTCTGGCACACGGTGAGCTCGACGCTTTTCTCACGGGCTCCGACCTTGTTACAAGTCTGAAATTGAGACATTTGACCTTCTTTCTTGTGAGGGGCCCACATTCTCTCTTTGTGATGTTGTGCAGTCAAAATGTGCCTACTCCACCTAGAAACATGAAGAACTCCTTTGGTGAACCTCGACTTTCGACAGAGTGTGAACAGTGCTCTTTAGTGTTCGTGAAGTTGAAATGTCACTTACTTCTCCGGACCAGCCGTTTTGAAGTACTGAACAACTCGAGCCATCGTTGGCCTTTTCTCGGGGTCTGCCCTCCAACAAGTATTCATTATTTTAAGGACGGCAAGAGGAAGGGTTTCATCAGTCGGTGGACGGAATTTAGGGTCAAATATCTGCAATACGTCATCGGATACTGTGTATTCCGTTTGCACTCTTGATAACACTGGAAATTCGAAAATAATCGAGTTCTTACCACTTTTTCTCTGACCGTTTTGTTATCCATTCCTTTATAAGGGGTTTGGCCATAATTGAAGATTTCCCAAAGAAGTATCCCATACGAGTACACATCACTTTTTGCCGTATACACTCGTGTCGCTATAACTTCAGGAGCCTGCCTAAATTAGAGCATCGTCCTTAGTGAAAATAGTGCTATTCTGTTCATTTGTAGAAGAGTAAAAGAATCAGGCTACATATTCAGAGAAACAAATCGCGATGGTGGCGTTCTCGAGTGGGTGAGTACCAGTAGCAAGAAATACTGGCGATTAGGATCTCACATAAGGTATTGTATCACCTGTATCGGACTTTTCCTCTTGAACTTTGCTATTCACGCAAGTCGACTTTGAGCCATCCGTTCCTATCCTGCGCACGTCGTCCCATTGTTGGGCATGCATGTTAACCATAGGATCGCCCCACCACGATTTAGACCTTACCGACGCTCGCTTGTGATGCAATGAGATCGAGTTCGTTGGACGGAAAATCCATCAGTTGTTCCTCAAACGAGCTACACGACCGGCCCATTTTCGTTTACGTTTATGCATTTCCGTGACAATATCAAGAAGGCCACTTCGTCTCCGCAGCTCTGTGTTAGTGATATGTTCACGAAGCGACACTTTGCAAATTCTACGTTCCGTTGACCAACGCAGACAAAACATCTGCAAATCTTCCTTTCCGTCGCCACGCTGTCGATACGATCATCAGAATTAACTTCTATTCGGAAGGCCCAGATGACGCGCCAATACCGTTATTAAAGGTGAGGTTAGGTGGGAATTCGCTTGAACATTCTTCACTAAATTATGGCTTACGGGTGGACACATCAATCGGTTTCGAAATAAGGCACGGGCTGCGTCAGAAACGGCTTTTACTGTGCCAGTGCTGTTTTGACAACCGATGATATGTTCCTATGTTGTCCCATGGTCCAGTGGTTGGAGATATACACAATAAAGTGTAGTATACTTACCATTTTATCGGAATTTTTTCGTCTTTCGGTATATTATAGGATTCCGCTTGCTTCGATAAACCGAAATCGCTAAGTTTTACAATACCTTTTGACACATCAATGAGGCAATTCCGACATGCAATGTCTCTGCAGAGTTGTTTAGAATGATAAAGGAAGAAGTTCATAGATAGTCGAATTCTTAACGTACCTATGCATACAAACTTTCGCATGTAAATAGGCAAGGCCGGTTGCAGCATCGATAGCATAGCCAATCAGCATTTTTGTCGGTAACTTAATATATAGATGCATAAGAATTATTTTGAGTTGAATTGGTTTCTTGTGTTATTTTCTTTTTTACTGTCAAGTGGGGGTAGATGGAATAGTGGCGTGTGCACACTATCACACACGCGTGGTCACGGGATCGAAGCCTGGATTGATATGCGCTCGGGCCAACAAAGCCGTCCCTACGGGGTCGGCAGTTTGGTACCAGGCTCATCTGTCCATCTTCTGGCCCCTGCAAGTCGTTGTATAGGCCACTACGCATCAATCATGCCACTACAATTCTGAATGGAAGTCGAATGCGGGGCTCATTCCTGAGACCGAATTGATCAACTACAGAGACTTTATTTTTCATCCTTTTATTGACTAGTGAAATGTGAGATGAGAGAATTGGGAAATTCGGCACTTATGAGGTCTGCGAAGACCGGAGCTGCGGTGGTGAGCGAAGAAAGGTGAGAAAGGAGCTGCCGACATCGCTAAATATGCACTTTATCGTATCGTCAAGCAATAATCTATTTAAGCTCTTAGTCAATTATAATTTCTTTTTATATTTTCATTTGTAATTTCATCACATTCGTAAAGGCACAGTTCATAATGAGAATGGTTTTCGAGATTTTTAACCAGGATGAATGCGTGGCCTACAATTACGCCTCGAAGGACGTGTCGGCTCGGAAAACGGCCGAGATAGGGAGCAACAAGGGCTCAAAGACCGGCTTCGTCGAAATTCGTATCCGAAGCCCGACGTGTTTTGTTGGCATTGTAGAGGCTGCACCATTCACAATAGAGCACTTAAGTTGAATATTCAAAGAGCGTCAAAATTACTATGCTATAACATCAACAATAAAAGCTATGGAATAGCAATATGAGAACAATAGCAGGGAATAGCTGTAAAGCTTGCAGCAACACAAACTTTTGATTGAATGCAGTCCCGACCCCAAAGGGGCGGCAGTTTTTGATTCTTTCCTTTCTGTGGCTTGCTCCTTCCGCAATTGCAAGCGATTGAACGCATATCCCTTTCTCAGCTCTTTCGTCGTCATAAGTCTTAACACTTCTACATTGACTAATTCAAGAACCCTTTTATTTAGTGCGACTTCATTGATTACTGTGCCACAGTAGCCCTATTTTTCACCCACAATTCCGTTTTCTAACATAAAAAGAGTATTTCAAAATCATTATGTCTGGTGCCTTCGAGTCTCTACCAGTGTGGAGTAGTGGTTGGTTTGTTTGTGGTGTGGTAACTTCCCCGCGAAAATCGCGTCGCGCTCCCCGCTCGCTATGAAGGGGAAGGTTTGAAGTCCCATTGAATAGCCGCCGCGGAACCACTGTCGCTTACCGTTGGAATTCGTAGAAAAGTCCCACCACCCCCGAGTGTAGTGTAGTAAACCCACATCAGTATTTTTCCTCAAGTAATTATTTAGTGCACCACCATCCACATATTCCATAACAATCATAGCATTGTCGGCACTCTTCTGTGCGACTCCATAAAACCTGACTACGTTTCTGAAAGGCGAAATTATTGACAACGTCGTTTCAAGCTATTATTCTACTAACGAAAATTATTACATTCCCAGCATGTTGCAGTTCCTTTTAACCTAATGTCGCGATGGCTATGGCCGCTCTGTCCTGCAGCCCGTAGCATCAGGGGACAGCCGAGCTGCGATCGAAACGGTGTGATCTGTGCAGGGGACATAAGTCGCAATTGCCAGATCGCGCTTTCATGACTATAGACAGCGCACGACAACGACGACGACATGATACAATGTCAGTAAGGTTAGGTCAGCGAACAATCGCCACGAATGCCAACTACGGTGCCTTCGCGGCGGGACGGCAGCGCGCGCCTAGCCAGTGTCCTTTGAAATTGGTAGAACTCTAGGAAAAATAAGGTTTGCTCCGTATTTAGACGCTCGGATTTAAAATGAATTTGTCTTCCACTTGGCCATTATTATTACCTTTGACAGGTTATATTGATTGTAACGGGATCGTAGAGAAAATTGCAGGAAAGTGATTATATCTTTCAAATGCTGGTAGAGAGCCTTCGCTATGGAAATCCTACATCTCTTCTCTGTACCTTTGAGCTAACGTTGGTAGATGACAGCGACGGCAGAATGGAGGCCTTGATAAGGGATGACCACCTTCTTTCAGTCATTCTTCTCCTCCTCTTTGGCGATTATTCAAGGTGGCCAAAGGGATCGCTGCCTTTGTTAGTTGTCGGGTCAGACGTCCAGCGACGTGTAGTCGCAAGTTCACGTGGGCGTCCTTATTCCAGTGAATTGAATTAAGCCTTTTCGTGATTACTTCGTGATTACCTCCAAATCACTCCTTGCGGACCACACGAGGAAGGCCAATGTCCATGCAAACAGGGTGATCGAGGTGATTCCTTCTCTACCTCGATCAGTTCGATACACAGCAGAGTCAATGTTGGGGTAAAACACCATGTCACAGATGGACAACGCCGCAAATCACAAGGGCCAGTACGGTATGCCGACAACCGGCACAGTGACTTATGGTTAATAGTGGGTAACGGAACTTTTCCCCGACTGCGGCATTCTCCCTTGCGGCATGCGGCAAATGTCACTGCAATTACCGTACCCACCCCGCCCCCCGCCAATCGATATGACGCAATATTTTTCGTCGTTGCCTTTCTTCTTTATTGGTTTTGATCGTTTTTTATCTTTCTTTTTCTTGTTTTTTATGTATATTAGACTTATTTAATTAGGATGATTCTTCCTATATTAGCGACGATCGATACCGCATTGA